AGACTCTAGAGCAGTTAATTCTACACTTATGACTTCTACGTAAGTCTCATGTTGGACTAAGCATGGCTTGCTTCATCATGGTTAAACTGAACAAACCATAATTAGCTGGTTCTGCACAACATGCCAAGCTAAAAATCAAGGTCTATTAACTATAATTGCCAATTCCACTCAGTAATATTAAGCCCAAACACTAAGTATCTTACGGTTTAGCATTATGAGAGAAGCCAACCATCTAAATAAAAATAACCTGCTCCCCTACATATAAATTTGGGAATTATATAGTCACATGAAGAGGCAAAAATGAGAAGTTGGGGAGCAGAGGCTGAAACTCCACCCCCAAAGCTAAGTAAATGTATGCCCTTTGCACAAATACATTAGATCAGGGGTGTCAAACTGCCGGCCCACGGGCCGGATGCATCATAATGAAACCGCGCCCACCCCATTGCGGGCAATGGCAAAAAAGTCACAATGCGTTGCGACACGTCACGTGACGTTGCGAGTTTGACACCCCTGCATTAGATTATGAATGAAAGTTTACCTAATCTTAATCTCTTATACTACTGTTAAGGTATTATAGAAGATGCTGTGATGAAAAGCCATTCAAGAATTTAATAAAAATGGGCAAGTACTCGGGTTATATAGCTATTCCCAAATAAAATATCAACTGCATGACCATATTAGCTTTTGAACAAAAGATTAAAGAAAATAGATTTGTTTTAGCTTTTAATTAGGTAACAGGAGGAGGAGGAGAACTTCTCTCATGAGACTGCCACAGATTTTTGGGTGGTGCAATTCTTAAATTGCCATACACCTAACAGGATAAAGCATAGGATGTGTCTGCAAATATCTTCTCTGACACCTCCCCCCAAAAAATCACTGCAGCATCATGCAAGTTTTAACCCTTTCATACATGCATGCAATGTTATGATACATATACAACAGGGGTAAACGTCATGCCAAGTCTGCACAACACTCCTTTTGTCATTTACCATCTCCCACAGATGCTTCTGAATGTGTCACACATATTAGTCAATACACAGAAGACCTCTTAACCGGCTAAAAAGACTTACATAATAATGCCTATAAGAAAGTTTGTCATAATTATTATAATATTTTATTTTACTGTAGTTTGAATTATATTGATTGTATTTCCTGATGTTTATAAGCATTCCAATAATAAATCTGTCCCACCTATATATATCATACTGTACTGAGTAGAAAGGTGAATGAACTTAAAGAAAATCTAACCAGAGAGATACCACAGAAAAGTATGGATTCTCCTGAAGCAAAAACACTGGTAACAGATATTAAGTGCAGAAGCAATCTGCTCACAGACATCCACAAAAACACAAATATACTAGGGTTACTTGCACTGATCATTCATAGCAAACGACTCACACAATAACACCACAAAACCACAGATCCTAATTATGTTATCTTGCATTACTATGGAATATTTACTTTATTGGTTTTCTCAACCCTCCCAAGAACTACATTAAGACTGACAGAAGACAACGAACAGTGCAACATTTCACAATCCAAACCTTAGCAAATAACGATCCCATATTATTCTGCCAGTTCTCTAAAGAGATGGGACTGGGACAAAAAACTCAAGAGGCTAAAGGGAAGGTTTAAAGTGGGAAAGGGCACAAGGAGCAGCTGCTAGGTAATGAATAGGTCAGATGTAACTTTAAACTTTCTGCTTAAGGAATATCATAAGACATGATTCTATAAAAGTATATGAATAGATTTAGTTCTAAATATTTGAAAATATTTACTGTTATGAAACGCTATCACTGACATACCTTGGTCTTTTTCTTTAATTCTGGATAATAAGAACTATAACAAGTCATTCATTACGAATCAAACTGTGAAATAAACAGCGATACAGCAGAGCATGATTGCTAGTACTAACTTCGAATGCAAAAGCATCTGGTCACTCCTTATCCTGAACACATGGAAAGTGAATATTCTCCCATTCTCCTGGCTTCTAAAAGATTTTAAATAAGTTGTTGAAACTTCTTTGTAAACATAACTTTTTTTTTGTTAGCTTTTGATTTTCAGTGTTGATTCCTGGTGACTGCCTGGGCAAGTCCCTTCAGTTTTCTTGGCAATGTTTCTTGGAAGCAATTTGCTACTCCCTCCTTCCTAGGGCTGAGAGAGTGTAACCCGCCCAAGGTTACCCAGTTGGCTTTATACCTTAGGCAGGACTAGAATTCACAGTCTCCCATTTTCTACCCATGACAGTATAGAAACTAGCTCTCATTAAAATAACTAGTTCTCCAAATATTTTGAATTCCTACAGAATTAAGATGTTTTAAAGTTGCTCTTCAGTAACTGATCATCTGATTCTATCTTCAAAGAGCAGCATATCTGTATATTATCAAGGCCTCATGGTTGAGGTCTCAACCAAGGATTCTCCAGCTATCTGGTCTAACCACAAAGGAGGCCTACTCCCTACCTCTGTCTGTATACGTACATAAGTGTTGCTGCTGTCTCACCACAACAGGGGCCGCCAAGAATTCAGCACTTGGCATTTCTGTCCCACAACTTGCCTCCCCTAGGAGTTGGGGCAGGAGGTAAGCTGTTTTACCATGGTAATACAATTCCTTTGCATTACTGACCTCAGTTATTATTACCATGGTGACAGAAAATACAGCAATTCTTCCGTCAGCAGCCCATAATTCCATCTGGGGAGCAACTTCAGTTTTCCAGCAAAGACAAGTCTTGAATCCCAGACAGACATTAATATCCTAATCCATCATGCCCACTGTTCATCCTAGCTGGGGAACACAGGAATACAATACAACATATCCATGTGACAGTGAAATGGGTAAAGTTGTTCAAGACCAATGTAGTGAGCTCAACAATATCAACATTTATAAATACGTACATTTTCTTGATGGGTGCTCACACTTGTGGAATTATATTAATGGAATTTTTTTACACTAATATATCATCACGTATCATCAAGAAATACTGGCTTTCTTTAAAAAATATGATTTTCAGAGTGTAACCAGTAGAAGAGGTATAAGGGCAGAAATAATTTACAATGTCAGTGGATTTTTATCTACACATCTCAAATTTTTAAATAACTTTTTATATTTTGATCTTAATCTGACTCCTAGGAATAAAAATTCAAATAAATTTTGGAAAATAATTAGAGAATGAGACCATTCTTATTATTCAGAGTTTAATTTTATTATTAAAATAAAGCATTACAAAAATAAACTAGGAACCTGAAATGAGATTCCAAAATCCAGGACTGCAATGAGTACATAAAGCTTGTAATGGATCAGATATCAAACAGGCAAAATAAACTTCGCCTTAGAATCTTCAAAAAGGCCAAACTTTAAAACAAAATGGGACAGAAAAAAGTGAGCTATCTTTGTTCTCATTTATAAAAGATTTCTTTCCTGTTATGAAAGCACTCGTAGGTTGTGTTTCTTGCCTAGGAACAGCCTTGAATTACCTAATACCAAAAATGTAAGTGTTAATTTATCAAGATATCATCTACAGATTCCTTATAATAGTTAACCCAATATATTTTACTTCCTTGTTCAGCAGCCAAATCTTTAATAATGTTCACCTAAGGAATATGTAAGTGGTTTTATCTTGAATTTTAGAATCCTCCAATCATGCTAAGAAGCAATAAAAATGGTTTCTGTCAGAGACCTATCCAAAGGTAAAAAAAAAATTGTCAAAGACTTGTTGAAAGTCTACTTCTATATTATTTTGGCCACCGGGTTGCTTCAAGATCTTTTCTGAGGTAGATCTTTTGAATTAAAAAATTCCAAATTCTTGCAAATAGAAATCCACCCTAGTTCACAAATATGTATCAGCTTTTTCATCACTCTTTCTTATGTCCAATCCACCTCACAGGCAGGACTATTAGGTATGCTTATCCCCTTGAATTATATATAAAATGGAATAATAATAATTAGGAAGGAAAATTTTGCTTCATCTTTTTTTTTTTTTTTTAGAAAAACTGGATTCAGAAATCCTTCCTAATTTAAATTAGGTTCTAGTCATAACTGTCAGTTATCTGCTTCCAATTTACGCTGACTCAGGACAGATTGAACAGTATATTCTCAACTGCTTCTTACACTTGGGTCATTTCCCTCTACCTCAAGTATCTGCTGTACTGAACTGACCACTTTCCTCTGACTAATGGTGGGGCCTGCCATCTGTTCATTTATTCCTAATAACCCTAACCAAGTGTACTCTACACAGTAGTAAGTCAACAATGGTAGCAGAAGCACTGTGTATTTAGCATATCCAAACTGGCAACCAGAAAAAACACTCAAGATACTGCAACTGATGAGAGAAAAAGACTAAAAGCCTCAAAGTCTTTGATAATAATAAAAAAGCAGGAATGTAGTTTTTGTAATTTGTTATCAAATGAACTATTTCTTTCTCAAATGAAAGGCATGATCTCATGGCGATGCTGGCAGATGATAAGCCCAAATCTAATACTACCGGTATATATGATGCTAGTTAGATTTAGGGATGGGGGGGTGATTGATCCTTTTGAGTTCAGTTATTACATCATAAGTCCCAAGGCTTATCCTCGGGAGAAAAAACAGCTACCAAAAGTATGCAACTCATGATCATCATCATCATCAGACCCTTGAAGCAGAAGCATAGTATATATGGATGTCCTCGTTTTTTGTTACTGCAAATAAAACCCGGATACATTTCTTTGCAAGAGGACAGCAGCTCAGCCACAATTTGTGGCCTGTAAATGAGGTCGCCGCGCTGACAAAAAGAGAAAGCAGGGCACTCAGCCCAGGATCGGACTCTCCGCAACAATTACATAAGCTCTGACCATGGGCAACAGGTTTTAGGACTGAACCCTGGTCGTGGGAAGACCACCTGTATATCTCCTCTCTCTCTCTCTCTCTCTCTCTCCTGCCCCACCGGGTCCTGATCCCAGCCATCAAACCCACAAGCAGGCGCGAAGAAATTCGGGAAAGCCGTAAAGAGGCAAGCAGACCGACCCTCGCGATTCCTCCTCCGGGACCCCGGTTCCTCCGATCCAGGCGCCGATTCCACCGCACCCGCCTGTTCCCGCCCGAGCTGAGAAGAGAAAGAAGGCGGGGGGGAAGGAGGAGGAGGAGTCAGCATCTCCCTGCGACCAGCACCCTTCCCTCCAGGCTGCAGCCGCCCACGGGCTCAGCAAAGCGGAAGATGGCAGGATTCTGCAGCTCCTCCTCGGCCAGCAAGCGGAAAAAAGGGGGATCCGCGCCGGTCTGGGCTCCCGTCCCCGCCGTTCACAGGGTTTCCCTGAGGCCCGGGCCGAGGCGGGGATCTCAGATGAAAACTCCCGCGCTCGGTAGGCCCCGCTGCGGCCGCCACCACCACCACGCGAGGACCATTCCGGGAAGTCGCCCGGCCGTCGGCCTACGCAAAGCTCTTTGCGCCGCGTGCCTTAAAGCGCTCGCCTCCCCGGGCTGCAGGGGGAGCCCAGTCGGAGCGACTTGCTCGCTTACCTTGTTTGCTTCTTGCCAGCCCGGCAGCTTCTAGCTAGCCCCTGGGCTGCATTTTTATTTTATTTTTTTTTTATTTTTGTAGGGAACCTGGCCTCGCAGCGCGAGCCCTGCCGCAGTTCGCGGATGAACAAGAAGGGGGCGGGGGGGTGCAAAGTTAGGGGCTCTTGGCGGTCTCCCGTCTTCCTCCTCCTCCTCCTCTTCTTCCCCCCAGCCTGCTTCCTCGAGGCGTGTCTCCTCTAACCGGCCTGCAAAGGAGCAAGTTGCTGTAATGGAGGGAGGGGGGGGGAAACGGGTGGAAGCGAGCGAGCGAGCGCTTCCCGCTCCTCCCTTTCCACACACGTGTTGGTGCCGAGAGAGGGAGAGCGCGCGAGTCACTCAGCCGCCTGTGCTCGAGTAGCTGCCTTTCGGAAGGGGAGGCCGTTGCGGCGCTCTTGACATTTGCAGCCGGTAAACAACTTTTCCTGCCAAGAAAATCACCCTAAAAAAAAAAAAAAACCAGCCGGGGCCTCAACACAATCGCCTCTCAAAAGACCCAGATTCGTTTCCCAGGGGCGCGATCGCGAGGCACTGCGCGTGGGCCATTTTAACTTGGAGTTTCCCTTTGCTAAAGAAAAGGCAGGGAGGGAGAGGCGGCGAGGATGCTTCCAAATCGGGCTTCTTTTCCTGTGCGGTTCTTCTACTTTATTCTTTTGAGTCCATTCATTTGCAACCTGTCTTTGTTTTCCCTGCATTCTTTCATTCTCCTTAGCAAAAAATAAAAATAACGGAAAGTTGGAGCGGCTGAACTTTGTCTCCTTTGCACGGAAGTGCTAAGAGCTGCCTCTTTAGAATTACCCGGGCACTTCCTACTGGATCAAGTAATTTATTCTCTTATTTGCAAGACGAACAGTGTATCTCCCCACCTACTGTCCAACCTAAGTCCTTTTAGAAGCAACTTTATATCCCTTAGCTGCAGACTAGGGAACTGCAAACAGGTGATCTGGCAGGAAAAAAAATGCAGGTGTCCCATTTTAGATCCCAGCATGGTAACCAGGTGGATTTCTAGAGCAGGGCTTTTCAACCAGTGGTACGGGTACCACATGTGGTACATTGGCACCTGGCAGGTGGTATGCAACCATCCTAGAAAAGTGATAGTGGGGGAGGGGAATGAGCTGAACCGATGGCAGCACCGCACAAGCCTGAGCGAGAGATGGCTGGAGCTGCAGGGCTGTCAGGGCTCAGCGGAAGCGCCAGGATCAGTGCCGCTTTCCAGCTGATCGGTGCTTCTTCGGGACTGTTGGCTCAGTGGAAGCGCCGGGCTCCAGCTGGAGCTTGGCGCTGATCCTGGCGCTTCTGCTGAGCCCTGAAGAAGCGCCAATCAGCTGGAATGTTGCAGCATCTCCAGGGTCCTGTGATTTACATTCAGATGCTTGGCAACTGATTCATATTTATGACGGTCACAGTGTTCCAGGGTCATGTGAAGTGACCAAAACCTGCTGCAACCACCCAGCAGACAGGGGAATAAAAACCAAACACCCCCCATCCCACCCCCACTGCCAATCCTCAACAAAAATGCTCACAACAATGAAAACCTCGGACAGGAGAAAGAGCGCGGCTGGGCAGGCAGGCAGGTTTCTTGCTCGGCTGTGGCTTGGGGGGCATTTTTTTCAGTGCCATTGTAACTTCAAACAGTCACTAAGCGAACTGTTGTAAGTCGAGGACTACCTGTACTTTATCACTTTTTCCTCTTTTTTTTGGTCATCAAGTTTTTGATACCTTGCTAGGTGACTGGTGGTACTCGGATGTTGCCATATCCTAAAAGTGGTACAGTGGGTGAAAAGGTTGAAAAGCCCTGTTCTAGAGGACATAATCCCTCTTCCTCATGCTTAGACTAGTAATGTGTCTCTGCTCCTTTTTTGCAAGTTGCTGTTTTGTATCTGAGCTTGTCAGCTGGAAAGCTGAGTGCCTGGTTTCAAGGAGGGGAGGGTGAGCTCCTATTAACTTGCCCCAGCTCCTGATCCACCTAGCAGTTCGAAAGCATGCAAATAGATTAATAGGTACCACTTTGGTGGGAAGGTAACAAGGTTACGTGCGCCTTTGTCATACAGCTGTGCTGGCCACGTAACCACAGAAAATGTCTTTGGACAACACTGGCTCCCTTGGCCAAGTCACGAGATGAGCACCACCTATTAAAGTCAGAAATGACTGGACAGGAAAATCTTTAAGGCTACTTTTAGCCGTGGTAGCATTTTCTTTAAAAAAAAATGGCATGTTGTCCTACACTTTACGTTAGAATCCACTTGGAACCCTTGCATTTATAAAACAATATATGTTCCAAATAAATATTTAAAATACTGGTCTCTTTTGCCCTGAAGAATAAATATCCTTAGACACTGGTTGTTATAATGTGACATACATAACTGACCCTAACATTAGCACTTTTAGTTAAAGTAGAATGCCTCTAAATATCAGATGCTGGTAAAAAAGGGGGGGGGGAGGTAGGATGAACTGTTGCCTGCATACCATGTTTTTAAAGTTGCCAAAGGCATTCGTATGACTAATGTTGAAACTGCAGGATCCAAGCTGGGTCAGTCACTGGAACCAGAGTTTGTCTTCCAAGCTTTCGGATTCATGCTGGAGCCCACCTTCCCTGAAAAAACCTCTGGTCCTGGTGACCAACCCAGATTGGATCCAACAACATTATCCTGGGACACATATATTCATTCACCTTCATTCGTGAATGTTGAAACTGAATGTAATGCCATAAACCAGGCAGGCTGGCTGAGGAATTCTGGGAGTTGAAGTCCACAAGTCATAAAAGGGCCAAGTTTGAAGACCCCTGCCATAAGCAATCCATATATGGCTTAAGGTTATTATGTGTTAACCCAGATCCTGGAAACAATTCACAATGTTTGTGCATCTAATTTATAATCGGCATACTGGGCTACCTTATTCAGATAATTTGCATTTTAAATGCATACAAAGGTGTAAAAGTGAAAAAAAATGTCATCTGTTTGTTTAATAGCTTTCTGGAACCAGATATACCAAAAATTAAAGGATGAAACAAAGCATTCCTCAGGACAAATGAAAATACAACAAGTAAAACCATGAGGTATTCTGGACAGCTTTTAAAAGGCCAATTCCTTTTGGAGAAAAGAGCCTCAGGCACTTCTGAGATGTCTTTAACAATCTGTATTTGGGGTTTTAAAATAATTGTACAGATTGAGCTGCTATTTTGGGAATGCAGTTTCAAGCAAACATACAGATCTGCGGTCTCAAAAGGGGCTGACTTGAGGTCATGAGTCCATAAACCAACACGTGATCTTTTCATAAGGAAATTCAAAGTACTTTTTGTCAGCCTTAAGCAACACAAATCAGACCAGATAAATGTTTTCAAGCCTGACCTTTTGAATGGACCTTATATATTTAAATAAGGGTAAACAGTTGAACGTCTGAAATATAATACTTATATTTGTATCCTGTTTTTTCTATTAAGGGGGGCATGCCCAATATCAGCCCACTTTTAATCTGGTTGCAATAGTTGGTGAATAACAAACCTAGTTAGAAAGACATGGTTAGCCAAGACTCACCAGGCACCCAACTTACGTATCCAAGCCTAAGTGTTGTTACTCAGACATCCAAGCACAATTTACTTCTCTGGATGCCTTTAAAAAAGCTAGTTAAACCCAGAGTCTTCCTAAATAGGCCTACTATTTATACTAACAGAAAAGGGAGATATTATTTTTGCCGGTTATTTTTAAAACTTCAGCTTTCCCAGAAGGTTTCCTTGCTTCAGTATGTGTGGAAGGGGAGAAGTTTGGGGGACCGCTATGGAAGAGAGGGAATTTAAGAATATACAGAATTATGCCCTCTTTTGCCACTGGAAGAAACCAGCGTAACATTTTCTTACAAATGGAAAATAGCAATAGCACTTAGACTTATATAGTGCTTTACAGTGCTTTACAGCCCTCTCTGAGTGGTTTACAGAGTCAGCATATTGCTCCCAACAATCTGGGTTCTCATTGTACCGACCTTGGAAGGATGGAAGGCTGAGTCAACCTTGAGCCA